CAAATCATTTTTCTAAGCAGCATACCATAATACCAAAATCTGATAGGAATTTTTAAAAAAGGAAGAGAAAAAGGTTATCATATCTCACAATTGTAGATACACATAGCCTGAATAAATTCCAGCAAATAAGATTCAGGGATATCTAAATCAAAGGGATAACACATAACCAAGTAGGGTTTTTGCCAAAAGAATTAGGTTGGTTTAACCTAACGACACTTGAAAAATTAATCAGTGTCATTTAATATAATAGGAGAATAAAGGAGAAAACTATATGATTATTAGTAGAAATGCAGAAAGAACATTTGATAAAATGTAGTGGCCAAATTTATTTTTGATTTTGTAGAGTTAAAATTAGTATATATGTTTAGTTTTATTATTACTGGCTTTTGTACTGCCTAATTATTGTGATTCCCATCCCTCAAATGTTTTAGATCTAGTAAGACTTTTTTTTTTCTTTTTTTTTGAAAGAGAGTCTCCCTTTCATCACCCTTGGTAGGGTGCTGTGGTGTCATAGCTCATAGCAACCTCAAACTCCTGGGCTCAAAGTGCTTGTCTTGTTTCAGCCTCCCAAGTAGCTGGGACTATAGGCACCTGCCACAACACCTGGCTATTTTTTGTTGCAGTTGTCATTGTTGTTTAGCTGGCCTGGACTGGATTTGAACCCGCCAGCCTCAGTGTATGTGGCTGGCACCTTAACCACTGTGCTATGGGCACAGAGCCCCATTCCTTTTCTTTTTTGAAATGGATTCTCACTTTGTGTCATCTTTGGTAGAGTCCTGTGGCGTTATAGCTCACAGCAACCTCAAACTCTTGGGCGCTAGTGATTCTCTTACTTCAGCCTCCTGAGTAGCTGGGACTACAGGCGCCCACTGCAATGCCTGTCTATATTTACAGATGAGGTCTCGGTTCTGGCCCAGGCTGGTCTCGAAACTGTGAGCTCAGGCAATCCACCTGCCTCAGCGTCCCAAAGTGCTAGGATTACAGATGTGAGCCTGTGTGCCCAGCCTCTAGTAAGATAGTCTGTTGGCTGGGCTCAGTCACTCATGTCAAGGCAGGTGGATTACTTGAGCTCAGGAGTTCAAGACCAGCTTCAGCAAGAGGGAGACCCCATCTCTAAAAATAGCTGGGTGTTGTGGTAGGTGTCTGTAGTCCCAGCTAC